CCTCACTTCCTTGTTTGACCTGGCCTCTTTGGAATGTGGGTTTAGGCCTTTAGGTTGTGTTTATGAGGTCCCTCTTTCAGCTTGGATTGGGGCAACCTATTCCTTTTCTTGGGGTTTTGGTGTTGCTTTTATTGTAGCCATATGCTTGAGAGGCATGAGGTGGGCTCAGTCTTTCAGGGTTTTCATGGGTTGTGCCTCTTGTGCACCACTGAAGCCTTTCCTGTTTTCTGGTTCTGCCCCGCGTTGTGGGCATGTGGTAGTTCCTTGTGCAGGCGCTCTTTGCATCTGGAGCTCCATCTGCAGTTCATGCACCTCGTATTCACCTGCTTCTATTTTTTGCATCTGGGCTGTGGTTGGGCTGTTTTATCCTGTATTGGGGTGGCCTGGATGTTTTTAACTTTAGTGCCAGGTAATTACCGAAGTGTAATTACAGGATGAGAACTACACTCGTGGTGTCCTGTCTTCCCAGCACTCTGTCATATAATGCTTTGAAACTACTGATGGTTTTGGCCTCCACTACCTCACGTAGCTTGTTCCAACTGTACCACTCTGTTTGCAAAAGAAAGCTTTCTAATATTTTTTGGCACCGATGTTTCCTTAGCTTGAATTTGTCCTCTTGTTCGTAAAGTTGCTGGTTTCAGTAATTCTTCTTTGTTAATTTAATAGATTCCTGTTAGTATTTCGTAAGTGGTGATCATATCACCTCTTTTCCTTCTGTCTTCTAGTTTTGGCATGTTTAACGCCTCAAGCCTCACCTTGTAACTCTTGTTTTTCAGTTCCGGAAGCCATTTTGTAACAGCTCTCCCTTTCCTAGCTGGTGGTGGCTTTGCTTTTCCTGTAGACTCGTCACTGTTTGGTGTTGGAGGGGCCCCAGATTACTCTGTTTGGTTCATCTTGTGCAGGAGCCTGATCTTTGCCTGCACAGTGTTTGTCATGTGCAGGGTTTGGCTTTGGACATTGTTCTGCTGCTGCCGGTCCTGTCCTTTTTGACACCGCTAGGATCATCACATGTGAGCACTGTTTGCTCTTCACCAGTTTTTGGTTTGAGAGTTTTCTTTTCAGGTTTCTCTGGGTTCCTCCTTGTATGCTCGGACATCTTGGCCCTGGGTTGGAGCAGGGGTGGCCAGCGATCACCGGGCTATCCCAGGATCATTGTGTGGGCCCTTTTTTTTTTGGGTGTACAGCCAAGTTTGCAAGTTTATGGCAAGTTTACAGGCTCTGCAGCAGCTTCGTCTCCTTACTGGCTCTGTCCTTGGGTCCATTCCAACTGCTCCCTGGTGTTTCATTGTCTGCATCACAGGGGAAGAGAGAGGGGGGGGGGTCGCTTCAGTTCTTTCTATTTTGGTGCTGGACTCTGCAAGTAGCTCGTCTTCTGGATTCTCATGGTCTGGTTTTCCATGTGTTTACACTTGCAGCGTGCTTCCATTTTTCTTGTGGATGGACTCCATCCATCCTATTTCTGGTTTTCATCCTATTTGCACGGAGTGAACTGTCCATGGCATGTCCTTTTGTTGGATCTGTGAGATGTTTTGCCTCCCCAAAGTGGATCTCTCCGTATTATTGAACTGTGGCATCCTATGTAGTTCCCTGCATGTGAACTATTTTCTCATGCAGGGAACTCTCTTTTGTTTCTTCACTCTGGTTCAGCTGTTGCTCTGGGTGTCCAGACTTGAGACTATTACTGGCAGGGTAATCTTTTTGGCTCCTTTGTGGCCTGCTCAGCCTTGACTACTGACACCTTCTGGTTCGGTGTGTGAACCTGGGTGTCTTTCTGCGGTTCCTGCCTCTTTCAGGAGATTGGTCCAGAGGCCTTCCACACGGGTTTGAGGTTCTCCTCCACTCTTCACATGTGGAGTTTTTTATTTGAGTCTTATCAGCATCTGTGTGTTGCCCAGTTGGCTGAGCTTTTGGTCTCGCACTTGCATCATTCATCACTGCAGCAGTTTGAGATTTTCTGGTGCACTTAATTTTTGTTTGTTTCCTTGCCATTTACCTTCCGTTTGTTTTGGTGGTCCTGTCCTTTTTGTTTTAGTTGTTTGTTGATAGGGATTCTATGCTGGATACTGTTAAGTCATGACTGGGGCCACTTTTGTTGGCTTTTGGCATTGATACTACCCCTGTGCAATTTCATAAGTTCTCATACTTTTTCACCTCGAGTCTGCTCATTTTTGTCCTGTACCATCTTGGGTCTCTGGATCAGGTTAGTTTTTTCTTTTGTTTCCTCGGTTCTCAGTCGCCACTTTGATCTGTAATTTCTTTTTTGGGTCTGTTTTTGTTGGCACCTTTTTCTAGTTGTGGAGCTTCTTGCTCTCCTCCAGAATTGCGAGTTTTGGTTCAGCCCTGGTGAACAGTTTTGCCATCTTCAGCATCCTTTTTCTTTCCTGGCTCAGATTAATAGTCTCCGTGGTGTAGTGGTAAGACACTCGCCTGGCGTTCCGCGAGCGCTATGTCATGGGTTCGTATCCTGGCCGGGGAGGATTTACTGGGCGCAATTCCTTAACTGTAGCCTCTGTTTAACGCAACAGTAAAATGTGTACTTGGATGAAAAAACGATTCTTCGCGGCAGGGGATCGTATTCCAGGGACTTGCCCGAAACGCTACGCGTACTAGTGGCTGTACAAGAATGTAACAACTCTTGTATATATCTCAAAAAAAAAAAAAAAAAAAAAAAAAAAAAAAAAAGATGGTTGGCTTCCAGAGGGGGTTCTCTGGTCATTGATTGATGCTTTCTTCAGCCAGAGGTGCAAAGTTTGTTGTATCCAGTTGTGGTAGTCGTTGATGTTGTACCACCTGCCTAGCATGCAGTCTGCCCTCAGGATCATGTTGTTTAAAAGTCTGTGGCTTTGGCCATTGTATATACTAATTTGTCTTGAGCTACTATTTAGGCATGGGGTGTTTTTGGAGGTCCCCTGGGGTCCTGGTGGCTCATTATTTGGTCAGTGTTCCTTGTCTCCTTTAAGCTTGTGTTGATCTGGTTAGGGGTTTCCCTCCTGATCTCCTCCATTCAAGGATTTGATCTTTGCTCTCCTTCTCATCTGGTAAGTCCCATTTTTCTCTTTTCTGTGGTTAGCTGCACGGAAGCAACCTTCAACCTCTCCAGAAAACCAGTGTTGAATGTGATTAAATGCCTCTTTTTTTTTCTGGAGGATGGGGGCTGCTCAGTGGCTCCCTGGTCTTTCCCTTTCCTACCAGGTGGATTTTGTTTTAATTGAGGGGCTCAGAACGGAGGAGTGTAGACGATGGGAGCTGGCAGCTCCTATGATGCTGTCGCCTGCTGGTGGTCAGCTGTTACTGAAGAATATATGACCTAAGTATACTGTACTGGGTGGATCATACAGTGGATCATACGATCAAAATGACCAAGTCATTTTCTGCATTTTGTTTGTTTGTTTTCTGTGAACCTTAGCATTGACCTCTGGTCCAAGGTGCCAGGCTTGGACCAGAGGTCAAAGTCTGTTACCTTGTTCATGAATACTTCAGCTCTCAGCTTGGGATTTGTTTCCAGTGATCGCAGTGCCTGACAGGGCCATTGGTTACTTCATCTGCAGCGAGTGCACAATATGGTTTGCAATTAGGCTTGGGTTTGCTTTGCATTGCACTGAGGGGGGCTTAATAATCTAGCTCACTCAGACTACTGCTGGTGTTTCATCATCTCGATTTGGGCAGTTCTAGTCAATAGCTTTTCCTGTGGAGTTGAACACTGCGAGTTATTTTCTTGAGGTTATCTTGAGGTGATTTCGGGGCTTAGTGTCCCCACGGCCCGGTCCTTGACTAGGCCTCCACCCCCCAGGAAGCAGCCCATACCAGCTGTCTAACTTCCAGATACCTATTTACTGCAAGGTAACAGGGGCATCAGGATGAAAGAAACATTTAGCCTATTAGTCTCCGCCTCCACCGGGGATCGAACCCGGAACCTCACCCAGTTGCCCAGCTTTTAAATTTTCTGCATGGTTCACATGTGGGAAGTGTTTGCAATTGGCACACCATCTTTTGTGGACTACAAATCCTTCTCATGCATGGTTTTGGTCACTCGCAGGGGGACCTGTTCACATGTGTGTGGAATTTGAGGCTTTTGGTGTATGTTGCTTCACATGGACTAGCATCTTTGGTATTTCCTTTGATCTCTTCAGCTGCTTCTTCCTGTCCTGTCTGAGCTGGAGATGTTTGTCAGTAGGGGCATTCTTTTGACTTTTCAGTGCCCAGCTTAATTGTGGATCTTGGAATTTAGAACTGTGTCCAAATCCACACATCTCTCTCTGATGCTCTGCCTCGCCAGGTTGATTGGTGAGGTGACTTATCTCGATGGTTTGAGGCTCTTTGTCGATCCTCACATGTGGAACCTTCAGGCCTGGTTTTCAGACACCTGTATGGTGCACTGGTGCCTGCTTTTTGGTTGTATCTGTGGCTGTCCTCTCGGGGGCAATACGTGGTGGAATAGCATGCTTTCTGCTCTTTTCTGTTACTTTGGCATTTGTTTTCTGTTTTTGAAGCATAACAAGAAAAGGGTGAAGAGTAACTAAGGTTCAAGCAATACAGTATTGGAGTTCACATAATCTGGGTGGCCCATACTGTAGAGTAGTTTGTGATGAGGTTTGCTGGGTAAGCATGAACTGTTACAAGCATCACAGAAGGCCTCTGGATTATGCACTATTCCACATAGGCTAATGTGAAAATTACTCTATGCTTTTCAAAACTGGAACAGTATAGAAATAATCCATGTATTGTACATGTGAAATTATATTGTTCAGTAATACGCAAATTGTGAGCACTCTCAAATATAGTTCAACCACAGGAATTGTTCAATGTTTGTGAAACTATATTTTGTATTGAGACTTCGTATGTTTGCATTTTTTCTGGCAATATGGTAGAAATTTATATACACGTGTTTGTTAATAAACACTAATGTGGTACAGGTTGATTCAGTATTTACATGCTTTATTTTGAATAAAGATTCATTTGCTGAGGTTTAATTGTTAATAAATTGATGGTGTCTGCCTCAGAGAGATGGAGATGAATCGAATGTCTGGTTTGTATGGAAGCATTGCCAGCACCGCCGACTACTCTGGCTTGACAGAGATGTTTACTGATCCCGTTGAGGAAGAGGTGAGTACATGTTTCTGTACTGTACTGTACTGTTTAATTGCTGTATTTTAAGTCTCTACTCTTACTTTGCTTGTTTATATTCTTGCATTAATGGTAAGTACAAAACAGGTAAGTGAGAGAGAGAAGCTATATTTCAGAAGTGAATTTGTCATTTAATTCGGGAGCCTTACTGAACGCAGAGGTAAAAACGAAAATATATTTTTATGAGAGGAAGCGATAATACTCTATACAGTAATGCTAAAATAAAAATAGTAGCACCTATGATAATTAAAGAGAAGTATGAAGAAATAATGAAGATGAAATTTACATATTGTCATTAGATTTTGTAATTTTGCAGGCTTCTAAGGGGAAGAGTAATTGAAATAAAAATGCATTTTGAATAAATGTATTTGATATTTAAAATATGGAAAGAAAGGAAAGACAATGCTTGGGTATAACTACATAATGCAAATAGCCAGTTTTATTTTATAGTGTACATGTTGAAAATAGGGATATAATGTCAAAGACCACGCAGTCATGAAAAATTGTTGAGCCTTAACCCCTGCACTGTGCACCTGTTTTTGGCAAAAAACTTCATAGTGCAATTGTTAAGGACATATTTTTGTTGTTTTTATAAATATTCAGGTAAAGTTAATGTCAAAATGTTTCCAAACTCGACTAGAGTATATGTATCTACCATAATAGCGCATGTTTGTGGAATATATACAAATACTCTAGTGATTTTGTCATCATCTTACCAAGTGGTGCAGAATATTGAGGGGTTTTCAAATAGCCGATGCAATAAACCAGTGATGAACTCTGCGGGGCATTGGGAATTCCGCTTCCACATACATCACCTGAACGTTTGGCCTGTACTATGCCATGTTTGGCTTATCACTGTCCCCGTGCCACTATTGGAACCTACTGTACTGCCAGGTTGTTTAACCTATCAGCCCACAACATCCCACATCTGTCTACAGTCACCCTCTCATATCTTCCAGCTTTTGTCGCTGCCTATTCAGAGAACAAACTGATTGCTCCATTACTGTGTGCTTTACTAGTACCATACTTACTGCATGTATTTGTCTGTCATCATAGATTACTGGACATTTATATATTTATTCAGTTACTCGTGTGTAATTTATTTTAGTTGGTTTTCTATTTTAGGGAACTATACATATAGTTTTGATTTTATATTGCTCATTGAAACTAATATGTAATCATTGATTTACTATACAATATATTGAATTCGAACAAATGTTCCTGATTATATATAGACAATAATTTTGATTGTACAGTAGGAGAAAAGACGCTTGCATTTAGGCTAATCGAGGGCCCCCCCTAGGCCTACTACAGTATTGACCTTCCTTAGATGCAACCCCACAACAGTTGTCAAACTCCCAGGTACCTATTTTCTGGCTAGGTGCACAGAGGCATCAGGTGACAGCAAATGTGCATAACCCTTTGTATTCTGCCTGTGGATTGAACCTGGGTCTCCGGATTGTAAGTTTAGGATGTAAACCACTGTGCTACAGGACCCATGTTAGCATTATTATTATTAGAATTAACTCTATCTTTTGTGTTAATTACACACACAGCATCTCTTCAGCCAGAGGTGATAGGTCTTAGTAGGATCTCTTATGTCACTTCACATTATTTAATGGTGAAGAAAGAGAGGAAAGATGCATGTCCCTGATAAATAAGACAGTCTTGCCTGCTGGCATTACACCACTGGCCTACCTATAAGCCTTAATTAGGGCTTGCTCAGAATAAATTTACTGCGACTCCTTTCTGCCCTCCCAATACCTTACATTTATTAATATTGGCATATCCTGCTGTATGCAGTAAGACATTGTGCAGTATTTTGTGATTATCAGAGCTGAACAAGGATAAGTTAAGTGAATTAAGAACAGAAGTACAGTAATTACCGTAAAAATTTAGTTCATATTCAAATTATATCTCCTTACCTTTAAGAGTTGCTCATTGGATGTTAGTAGAATGTATGTTCAGTAGTTGTTGCTTACACTGTCTTGTCTGTAAGCTAACTGAAGAGCTTCCAGTTAACGAGAAAAACTTGTCTCTAATAAGGTTGAATTCTCTCATTATATTCACTAGAAATGAGCTTTAATGCCAACTATATTGAAAAGAGGATGTGATTAGATAAGAGAGACCAGCTTTGTTTTGTGTGTGTGTGTGTGTGCGTGTATGTGTGTGTGCATGTGTGTGTACTCACCTATTTGTACTCGCCTATTTGTGCCCACAGGATCAAGCTCTTGTTCTTGGACCCCACTTTTCTAGCCGTTGGTTGTCTAATGCAATGACTCCTGGCCTAATTTCTCTATCATACATGCTCTTAAAGTTATGAATGGAGTTAGCCTCTACAATCTGTTCCTTTAGGTCATTCCATTAACCTTTACACATAAACAAAACTTTCTACCATCTCTATGATGCATCTGAGTCACAAGCTTCCATCCATGCCCCCCTTGTTCTATTGTTATTCATTATAAACATTTCCTCTCTTTTTCACCTTGTCAGTTCCTCTAAGTACTGTATTTTATACACGCACACTAATGCTGAATACTAATACTGAGACACTAACACAAGGATACGCACACATTCTAATACTCGCCTAGTTCTCACCTAAATGTGTGTGCACTAGCCTAATTGTACTCATCTAGTTGTGCTTGCGGGATTTGCAGTTTGGTTCTGGCTCCACCTCTCAACCGTCAATAAGCTGGTGTACAGGTTACAGGTTCCTGACCCAATTGGGCTGTATCATATCTATATTTGAAACTGTGTATAGAGTCTGCCTCCACTACATCACATCCTAAATGCATTCCATTTGTTAACTACCGTGACACTGAAACAAATCTTTCTAGTGTCTCTGTGGCTTATTTGAGTACTAATTTCCACCTGTGTTCCTCTTGTTCATGTTCCATTCATGTTTAATAGTTTGTCTTAAACCACCCCCTATAGATTCCTCTGAGAATTATGTAGGTGGTGAACATGTTACCGTTGCAGAGTGGTAAACCACTTGCCCGGCGCTTTGCGAGCGCTTTGATCTGGGTGTAGTGGGTTCGTATTCTGGCCGGGGAGGATTGACTGGGTGTCAATCCTTAACTGTATCCTTTGTTCACCCAGCAGTGAATGGGTACCTGGAAGTTAAGTGATTTGGCGGGTTGTATTCCAGTGAAAATTAGGATTAAGGACCTGATCAAAATGCTATGCATGCTAGTGGCTTTACAAGAATGTAAGAACTCTTTGTATATATATATATATATAAATAAATAAATTAATTAATTAATCTACCCTAACTCTTCTGTCTTATAAGGATGTGAGGTTTAATTCCCATAGCCTTTCCTCATAACTCATACCTCTCAGCTCTGGGACAAGTCTAGCGGCATACCTCTGAATCTTCTCTAACTTTGTCTTGTGTTTAACTAGGTATGAACTCCAGGCTGGAGCTGCATACTCCAGTACTGGTCTGACATATGTGGTATACTTGGTTCTGAATGATTCCTTACACAGGTTTATAAAGGCAGTTCCTGGTGTATGTTGGCCAACCTAGCATACACTACTGGTGATATCCTTTTGATGTGTCTGTTTATATATGTATATACTGTATACATGTGTAATGTGTGTGTGGGCATAGATGGTGTAGAGGGTGTGTTGGTGTGGAGGGGTGTATGTGTTGGGTTGTAGGGGTGTGTGGTCTGGGTGTAGTGGGTGCACTGGTGTGGTGGGGGCATAGATGGTATAGTCTGGGTGTGGTGTGACAGTGTAACATGAGTAACCCCGGGAGGGAGGCACCTTACGGTATGTGTTGTTAATGCTCTTGTACATTCATTGGGGGAACTGGGAGGGGGGAGGACTGGGACAGGGTCTCATTCTGTATATACTTGTATGTGTGTGTGTGTGTGTGTGTGTGTGTGTGTGTGTGTGTGTGTGTGTGTGTGTGTGTGTGTGTGTGTGTGTGTGTGTAATGTGTGTAATGTATGTATGTATGTATGTATGTATGTATGTATGTATGTATGTATGTATGTATGTATGTATGTATGTATGTGTATATATATATATATATATATATATATATATATATATATATATATATATATATATATATATATATATATATATATATATATATATATATATATATATATATATATATAATAATATAATTAATAATAATAATAATAATATGTACACTTGATGTGGGGGTGTAGATGTTGTGTGGGCATAGATGGTGTGATGGGGAGGGGGGTGTATAGGGTGTGATGAGGTGTTGGTGTGGAGGGTGTGTGTGTATGTGTTGGGTTGTATTGGATGTGGTCTGGGTGTAGTGGGTGCACTGGTGTGGTGGGGGTGTAGCCTGTCATCTCGACTACCAGTACCCTGGTAGTCGAACACGGACATGAACCGAGGCTAGGTGTGGAGCAAGGACACTGACTGTAGCTGAGACTGCATCAGGATATGGCGGTCATCAATACATATATCCGCTTTTAAATGTTTATGGAAATCATTTAAATATAAATGTTTTCTGTTTTCTGGGCAAGATGAGCGAGCTTCCTAATGATGTCAGACCTGGATTTAAAAAAAAAGCAGCTCCGTTGTGAAGGAACTAGACAAACACTGCACCATTTGGAGTCTGACACAGTCAGGAATGAACATGTGCATTAGGAAGATAGTGTTGGCATCGTATCAGCTACTGACACTTGTTGGCATAGTAACAGAAACACTTGGCCAGTACCTGGATTGTACCTGGGTGGAAGTTCTTGGAGTTCTTCTACTTCCCAAGCCTGGCCCGAGGCCAGACTTGACTTGAGAGCTTAGTCTTATTGGTTGTTGCTTGGAGTGGGCTGCAGACCCACATATCCACTAAAGCCCAGTTGGTCCAGCACTTCTTATAGAAAACTCTGGGAGGGTAACGAATAACTATGGACCTCTGATGTTCATACAACGTTCTCTAAGTGTGCCTATGGTACCTCCACTCTTCACTAGTTCTATTCTGCATTTCCTTCCATATCGATCACTCCAGTGTGAGGTTATTTTACTGGGCAAATTTAGGACCTGACCCTCCAGTATTTTCCATGTACATACCTGTACGTATTATTTGATACTTTCTCATCTCCTTCCTTGAGAGTACATTTTGAGAACTTTGAGATGGGCTCAGTAACTTAGGTGCTTTTATCGTGTCTGTGTGTGCCATTGTGTGTTCTCTGCATTCTCACTATTTTGGCAGTCTCTCCTGCTCTGAAAGGGTAAGTGTGTTCCAAGCAGTATTCAAAGCAGAACAGGACAAGTCCAGTCTCCATGGTGTAGTGGTAAGACACTCGCCTGGCGTTCCGCGAGCGCTTAGTCATGGGTTTGTATCTTGGCCGGTGAGGATTTACTGGGCGCAAATCCTTAACTGTAGCCTCTGTTTAACTCAACTGTAAAATGAGTACTTGGTTGTAAAAACGATTCTTCGCGGCGGGGATCGTATTCCAGGGACCTGCCCGAAATGCTATGCGTACTAGTGGCTGTACAAGAATGTAACAACTCTTGTATATAGCTCAAAAAAAAAAAAATAGTATAAGCATTGTGATGGGATCCTTTGATTTGAAGATTCTCATAATCCATCCTATAATTTTTCTAGCTGATGCTATATTGGCTCGGTTATGCTCTCTAAACGTTAGGTCGCCAAACATCAATATTCCCAGATCCTTTACATGGTGCTTTCCTATCATGGGCAGATTTAATTGTGTCATTTACCCTGTATTTTATTTAAGATGTTCATTTTAACAATACCTGCAAAAGATGTGTGTAGTTACTGTATTTACGCATATAATGCATCCTTATGTAGACTTAAACATTATTTGTCCTGCACGTTGTCAACCAAAGGGCTCGCCCATAAGACAGTCTTGTCATGGCTTGGCACTTGTCAGTCTTGTCACTGCCCGAAACGCTTTGCGTAATAGTGGCTTTAGGCATTGTATGTACTAGCTCTATTTATTAATCCAACAAACTTTGTAAAATCTCTTTATGTATGTACCTTACCTAAATAAACATTTATTTATTTATTTATTTATTTATTTATTTATGGCTTGTCATATCACTGCGGTGTTAGAATACAAATCTCTGCAGCATTAAGGTGCTTGGGTGCAGTAATATCTGAAAACAATGCAGATGTCCTTAAATACAGTAGTACTGTGAAACTTCTGTAGGATACTTAGTTTTAGATATATGAACTGCTTAACCTAATTACCTGATTTGCCTAATCCCTTCCCTAAATAGGGAAACCTAAACTAGCATATCCTGATTTAGCCTATTATAACCTACCCTAATATAGTAGTAGTACATATTATCCCAAAGAGACAAGAGTTGGCATGTTCTTTGTGATGGGATAGTGCTATCCTCTTGCTTTCTTGTCAATGAATTTGTCTTGCCTTTCCCAATGGCGGTAATTAATTTAATATTAATTGAACACGACATTAAGCTTGATTTATAATGGGGAAGAAAGGAAAAAATGTCAAATTATTATATGTAATGTTTGTGTAAGAGCAGCGGGACTGAGCATGGAACTTCCTGCTCACACAGCCTGTCATCTCGTCAAGTAGGTCACATTTTTAACAGAATCGACCAATCCCTTAAAAATTCGACGTGTTAGAAATAGAGCAAAGAAATTTTTTTTTTTTGTAAATCGGCCTCAATAGATTAGGTGGGGTTGCCAGGGCTCTTACATTTCTGGTTAAGAAGGGGGGTGGGGGGGAATGCTGCAATTTTTACGGACTGGCAGATCAAAAGAAAGGGCTGTACTCCTTAGCCATTGTTGCCAATATTTCAAAGTGCACACTCTCTTGCAACACTCTTGTGTTATTCATGTTTGGCCTGCACGAAGCCCTTAACTGTCCAGATGCAGGATGTGGCCGCACTAATATACATTAGGGTCCAAAACCTGTACCGAAAGTCATTATGACATCATAGTGACGTCACTTCGTCCACCATTTGTAAAACCATATTTTATCTTATTTTTACTACTTTTTTGTGGTTTGGTTTGGTTAGGTTTGATGTAGAGAGATCCATCGTTTCTTGGGTCTTAGAGCTGAGAAATGTATACTGTACTTAACTAACTGCCAGCTGGAAGTCTCCGTTCAGTACTCGGCTGTGAA